TTCAAGAACAAGAGCCATGATTTACAGCCCTAATCCTGGGAGGGTAGGATAGGGGGTATATATCCTACCCCTCCCTCCATCACCCGAATCTAAATATATAAATGGAGAACATTCTTTTTTTTTTTTCGAGACGCAAATAAGATAATAAATACAAAAATATTTTAACATCAACGAACCACAAAAAAATTCCTGGATCCGTCACATAAAAAAGCAAGTTACTGATTTTTCCTAAATTTGTTTACAGCTAGCTCTTATAGTTTCTTATTTTTTAATATATTTATATTTATTGTATATTTGGAAAATATATTTGGAACATTGCATTAGCAATAAATGTGGAAATATTTAAAAATACAATAAATATATTTGCATACTTCTTATCTTACATTTTAACAAAATTATAATGCATTGAATTTATGAATAAACATGAATATGTTTTAATCTGAATTTGAATTTATGTTTTATAGTAATCAACAATTGCAAAATCATTGATAAAGTGAAGCAACACCAGACTTCTTTTTCCTTACGATTTGGCGCTGCAAATGAAGCAGATATTTTAAACAATTTTGTTTTTACAGTTAACTCCTCAAAGGAGTTAAATGTAGGCGCATCTATAGGTTTTTGCGATAAAGCCTTTCAATGAGTGACAACAAAATTTGTGAAGAAATGTTTACGTACTGCGCAGACTTTTTTGTCTTTCTTTTCGCTTATTGTGTCCAAATTTTAATTGCGATGGCTGTTTCTGAGGCAAATAAAAGTCTATTATTTCTATACTGATCAATATTTTATATTGTATAAATAAGTCTCGGCTATTTATCTCGGGTATTTTTCTTTGTTTTAGGGTGGTAATTTTGACCAGTAGTTGTCTTTCCTTGTACGATAAATGTTTGATTGCCACAATAGTTTTCGTCGCTCGTTTCTGTAATTTTTCAAAGATTGCAATTTCATTTTTTTAAAAAGGTTACCATAATTGTACCATAATTAATTACCAGAATTTATTCATAAGTAATTAGCAGAATGCACCAGAGTATATAATTGCGACTGCGGAAAGCTTTTTTAAGCCGGCCAAGCATACTGTTTGTGGTGGATTTTATTCGGTAGGTTGTTAATGAAGAGGATAAAGAAGTTACCTTGTGACACTTCTGACTAAAAATATTTTTACTCCGAGGTGTGTTTATCAATGACTACTCTTTGTTGGATGTGGTCTGACTAACCATTTTTCTATCCAGAATATTAAACTACCTCTGATGTCTTATGCTTGTAGTTTTTGTAGGAAATATTTATGTGACACCTTGTCAAAGGCTCTGGTAAAATTGACATCTACAACATCACGTCTGCTACGTAGCCGAGATGGATACCTTTTATAAGAGTATCGTGCGTTTTGAGAAGATTCGATACACAGCTCTTTTGTTTTACAAATTTGTCTTGTGTTTTGTTGATTAGTTAACGTGATGTGTTAATGTGGTTATAATAGAAACAGGTCTGTAGTTGCTCGCTTTAGTTCTACTGTCTTGTTTGAAGATTAGTGAGATATTGAATTTTTTCCCCAGTACGGTTTTTCCCAGTACGATGCCAGTGCTAATTGAGCATTTAAAAACAAATGTAACTGGTATAAAGAAAGCTGCGGGGTATTTGCTTAGGACCCGCCAATGGATGCCATCTACTCCTATCACTTTACTTTCTGTGAGATAGAGTTGTCTTAACTCAACATCTTCAACGGCCATGTCTTTTGCTTTAAAATTGAAAATTGTTCTTTGTTAATGTATGACAATGTAAAGCGGTTCTTGATTTAGTTTCACGCGGTCATATTGGCTTTTAAAACTCCCAAAAGCTATTTTAAAGAAATGCAAAAATTTGTTAAAAAAAAGAAATTAAAATTCATTGTATTAAAAAACTGCTTTTTTCTTGAAGTAATCAGTTCGACAAACAACATGATGACTAACTTAAGCATAAATATAATTAATTAGAAAGACAGCATTTTAAGTGGATCTCAAATACCAGTTTACAACTACTAAATAAAATTATATAAGGGGTTGTCCATTAATTATGTCAACAAAATAGGGGGGAAGGGGGGTTGAACTTTTTTACCAGTTGTTGACAAAGGGGAGGGAGGAGGTCAATTCATATCATGGAAGTATAAAACGTTTCACATTCATATCATGGATTCATATTCATATCATGAAACGTTTCATATTCATATCATGATTCATATCATATCATTCATATCATGGAAACGTTTCATATTCATATCACGGAAGTATAAAACAAATAGAAGTTCAACTGCATTGAAATTCTTCGGGAATATGCTCGTAACCTTTTGTTTCGTAAACAATAAGAAAACGATATCAAGACTGTACTTAAACGTCTAATCTTGGTCCTACTTTTTCAAAAATTCGCAGGTAGGTAAAGGCAGTCAAAATGGTGTCAAATTTTAAGAATGGCATGAGCAATGTCTTAGCCTCATGACGTGTCTTTGCATCAAAATTTTCTGATTCGCTTATAACTGACATACATAACATTAAATTGACAAACACTGTTGAAGATGGCTCAGCAAATGTTCCAAATATCGCCGTTGCAGCTTTTGATTTACCCGGCTATCTTGTTTCACCAATGCATTTCAATCTTTTTATCTTATCCATTCCAATTTGTGTTTCAACGAGTTTAATACACTTTGCCATTCTAATTAAATTTAATACACGTTGCCATTCAACGAGTTTAATACACGTTGCCATATATTACACTTTTATAAATGTTCAAATATTTTGCAAAAGGTTAAAAAATAAAACTACCTAAATGCAGCAACTGGTTGCCTCCTTCACAACTAAGTTGAGAACAAAAGCATAACACCAAAGTTCAGAGTTTAACATTTAAAAAATAAAGCAAAAATAAAGATCGTCTTCTTTTCGAAAAAATGATATTTAGATCTTCAAAAATAAATTTTGTCCGATCAAATTTGTTTGAACGGTAAAATTTGCAAATCAAACTTTATATTAAAACTCAAATAAAGACAGGCCACTAATGACAGATTTTTGGTAAAGAAAGGTGGCAAGGGCACCACCGCACTATATATTTTAATATAGTGCGGTGGTGCTATAAATTCCAGATTTTTGAAAAACCTCTATAAATTCTAGATCTTTGAAAAAGTTAGGACTTTTCTTACTGATGGAATTATTTAAACTATAGACATAAGAAAATTCATCATTGATGAATTTTCCATTGTATTTCTTGAAGGAAATAGAAGGAAAAGAGCAGCAACTACCAATTTATCCTATTTTTTTTTAGTACTTAAACTTAATAGGTGGAGAACATTATGATTATTAATGAAAAAAATAACATGTTTTAAGAAATAGTTTGGATTAGACACTTTATAATAGTTCTTACTTTTTTGATCTATAATCATGTTTAAATTAATGAATTTTTTAAATTTCATTTATAATTTTTTAACAATTTGAAGCGACAGAGCAAAATTCTAAAGAATTTTAAATATAGATTTACTAAAAATCTAAAATTCTGTATAAGCAAAAATGATATATAGATATTTTTTTCTTTCAACAGAAAAAAATACATTTTCATGTATTTTATAGATTATAGATTTTATGTTATTTTTAAGATTGTCAAAAATTAGGATTTTTTTTTTTTTTTTCCGATTTAAGTTTTTCTAATTTGCCCTATTAGGCCTAATAGGGCAAATTAGAAAAACTTAAATCGGAAAAAAAAAAAAAAATCCTAATTTTACTAATTTGCCCTATAGGGCAAATTAGTAAAGCTTAAATCGGAAATCAGCGTAGTTGAACAACACTGAGGTACTTTAAGTTGACTGACACAAAAAGTGTTTTTTATGTGTTACATAAACAGTTATGCTTATAAAACGATCCAGAAAACTTGATCGTCCGGAATAATTAATGGGGCCCACCGTTTTTATATATATTCCGACAGTGGCGGACTTGTCCAGCGACCAGATGGCCGGTGGTGTTCGCCAAGTCCGCCACTGTTCATAAGATAGCCTACAGCTAGTTTTTGGAAACGTAGCCAAGAATTCAGGAAAGTTGGCGAGTAACTTGGGTCTGTTCAGACAATAGTAAACCAGCAAGTAAGGCTAAACTTTTTTAAAAAAGATGCCAAGACTGATTGACATTAAACCGGTCTTGCAAATACTTTCTTTATTTAAGAGGATGAGCATTATTTACAAAATAAAGATACACATGTCATTACCCATTGATAACAAGTCGTTTTTCAGACGACAAAAAACGTATAATTACGTTTTATCAAGTTTATAATACGTTTTGTGCTCTGGTTTTTTTTTTAAAAAGCTTGTATCATTCTTTACGATACAAGAAAAAATAAATACGGTTGCTAACTAAAAAAAACTAAACCTGTATGCTACTGGCCCTGTTCCTTCTATTTGTATTACAATAAATCTTGCTCTTTGTATTATTGATTTATTTAAACAACTATACTACTTTTATTTATAGGAACTAAATAGGCGACATTGATTTGAACTTTATGCAAATTGCAGATGCAATTTGCATATATTGTTATAGCATAACAAAAAAGGAGAAAAAGATGGAGCATAAAAAACCTGGAAAGAAATTAGCTATGCAATAACAAACTTATAAAAACGATGATTAATATCAAGCACAAAAAATTTTTAGATTTCTTATTTTTTTAGTTTAAATTAATTTTCAATTAAGATAAAAAAATATTAGCAGAAAAAAAAATATAACAAGAATTATGTATGTACATGATAAAAATATTCCTAATAAAATCTTATTTAAAAGTTGACGAAAAAAATAGGCTCTTTTACACAAAATTAAAAAAAATGCAAAAAAATAAACTTTTTCTCTGAAGAGTTGGTGTCTTAAAAACTAATCAAATAAAAAAATCAACTAAAAAAAAAAACAATTTTGAAAAACGAAAAAAACAAAAACAAGAAAGTTAGTATTTCTATATATCAAATAAGTTTCGCGCTATATTTAAATAGTTTATGTAATAAATAATTTGAATAAAGTAAAAAAAAAAAAAATCAAGCATTATAGATTTCTACATTGCATTTTATAAACAGTGTATCATCAGCTAAAAAGTTTTTTTCTACCAATTCATCATGATGAATAAAGTCATCGAAACCAACTATAAAAGATTTATCATCTTTTTGAGGTCTGCTAATTCCAACATGTTTGACGGTTAGATCTCGAATCCGTATAAAATCTAAGCGCTTACTAGGATCAGGATCTTGGCTTAATAAACAAAAACTATAGCAAGGTTTAACTGGCCATGGTAAAATAGCATCAACTTCACTTGCCAAGACTCGTATAAATAATGACAAATACTTTCCAGAACATTTTCCTCGCCCATTCAAATACGCCCATATTGCAAGTCTATAACCATGAGCACCCGTACTAAACGGCTCTGAACGACTTGGTTCTTCATATGTACCAGCGGAAATTTTTTTCAATTTTTTTGAAAAAGAATTAATTCTCCACACTGTTTCACCTTTATACACAGTAGGCATGCGCGGGAGTGTAAGAGAACTAGAATAAGTAGACTCGGAACCGTCATTCGATTTTTTCTTGCATAGTTTCTTTGGAATTTCATCGTGTAAGTCAATTAATTTTTTAGATTGTAAATTATCTTCACTTTTCATATCGAATTTCTTGCGCAAAGTGTGAAGCTGTAGTTTTAACTCGTCTATAACTGAATTTTGAAGTTCTAGGCGAGCTTCAAATACATGTTCTAACTTTTCTATTTCACTATTTTTTTTTTGTCATTTCAGAAAAATACTGCGTTTGAAATGATTCAAACTTTTGAGCTAGTATGTCTAGCTTAGATGTTAAAAGCATGTTTTTGTTTAATTCGTTATTTAACCGCTCTTGAAGCTGTGATATAGCTTTGGTATGGTCTTTTGTCAACTTTAATAAAGAAATAAGGTCCGATTTTTTTTCTGTCGTTGGTCTATCTTCTAAAAAATTCTAAAAAACAAAAACATCTACTTGATTGTTTACAACTAGAAATTTTTCATAATTAAAGTTTAAAAACTTTATTTTGTTATGTAAAACTCACTAAATATGTTTTATATAACAAAATAACATTGAATTTACAAAAAAATTTATAAAAAAATATTAAGGGGCATTCTCCAAACCTTTGTATACTATCAAATAAAAAATCTTTGAATTTAGATCAACCTGGACCTCGAAATATCAAAATTAAGTTAAATTTTAAAAATAAAAATCATTTTATAAAAAACATTGTACAAAAAAAATATTATTAAACAAAAAACAATTGTCAAGCTATACTCTTTTTTTGAATGAATTCACTTCCAAAAAGGCCTTTCCTAAAAGAAAAAAATGACACCTCAAATATTTGTAAAAATACTAAAACTCCAATATTTGAAGCCTTTAATTAAACTAATTTAATAATTTTTTCATTCTATTACTAGTCAGTATCTTATAGGTTTTCGAAAAAGGGAGTAAAATTTTAAAGTATTAATTTACCCAGTCACAAAAAGTGAAAAAACTTAAAATGTCCATTTTTGTCCGCTACTAAATTTTTACCACATTATTATGAATGCATTGAGTACACCAATATAAAATTTCTAACTGCTCTAACTTGCTCCATTTTGATTTAAGGTCGATTATTTCAAAAGGACGCTAGATAAACCAGGGGACGGGGAGGAGAATCTTATAAACAAAAACAAAACTACAATAACAAAAATTTTAGCATGACTATATCATGTGACTTACAGAAATTAAAAAAAAATTTGCGTTAACTGACGTAGGAACAGGGAGGACAGAGGTGCTGCCTCAGCCCTAAATTTCCGCCCCACCCCCAATTTTTTGGACCTTCCTACACCACTATATATATATATATATATATATATATATATATATATATATATATATATATATATATATATATATATATATATATATATATATATATATATATATATATATATATATATATATATATATATATATAAATAAGTTTAATTTTGCAGTGAGCATATATTCAGCAAGAGTGCTTGATGAATGATATCAGAGCTATATAATTTATTTTTTTTGACGAGGTTAAATAAAAAATAACTACATAATTTTTACTACTAAAAGTTTCATGCGTTTAGCAATCATCAGGTAAAAAATACATTGTTTTTTTAGTTAAAAAATATACTCAATAAACATCGTGGCATTCAAAAACAATTTTTAAATGTTAACTATTTACAAGCGTGGTTTGGTTTTTTAATCTTTGGGCTCGTGGTTGTCAAGCAAGAATTTGTTTTCATGACGGCACTTATATATTATTTCTGTTTTTTTATTTAATAGTTCTTGTGTACCTTTGTATGATATTATGCAGTTTTTCATGAAGACAAAACAAGCATTTTTTTGTTATGTTGCTGTAGACTGGGACTTGTTTAATTATTGACCAGGTTAATTTGGGTGTTATTTTTAAGTTTTCCTTTATCTGACAAATATACTTTGAAAGGGTGGTTGAATTTTTCATCTTTTTGTTTGTGAATGAGTGTTTGTGGTTAGCCCATCTTTTCTTCCATTCACCTTCTGCTAGGCCATTCTATTCACCTTCTGCTAGGCCAGAAGGTGAATGGAATGCCACATAATAACGCTTGTAAATAGTTAACATTTTAAAATTGTTTTTGAACGCCACAATGTTTATTAAGTATACTTTTTAACGAAAAAAACAATGAATTTTTTACCTGATGATTGCTAAACGCATGAAACTTTTAGTAGTAAAAACTATGTAGTTATTTTTTATTTAACCTCGTCAAAAAAAAAAACAATTATATATATATATATATATATATAAAAACCAATAAGAGTAACTACTAAAATAGCTTAAAAAAATTATTTAAAGAATATTTATTGTTTAACAAGCAAAAGCTTCAAGACTTCAGAATCTATGTTAACAGTACCAATAGATTTCGTCATTTTGAAGCTGAATGATGAAACTATTGGATTGCTATGTAATAGAAGATAATGATATTGGTTTTCCTGAGCCTCTGAATATATACCTACTGGGAGTCTTCCTGAATATATACCTACTGGGAGTTCAAAGCATTCAGAAATTTAAAAACCATGCTCCAGTAGCTTGTGTACAGGTGGCATTATGTACCAATTATATTTTTAAACAATTATTTCAGAAATATCTAAAAAATATTTTTTAAAGGCCTTCAAATCAAGGTGGTACCTACTGCATACAGCTTTCATTATATTTCTCAATCTAAGAATAATTTCAACATCAACTCCTGTAATGTCTGCAAAAGTATCTGCATTCTCAAATGCTCTTCACACTGTATTTACTGTGTTTGAGGAACCATAGCCATGCTTTGGCATATCAACAACAAGACTAAGCTCACTTCTAAAACGATTCTAAATTTCAATTTTTTGCTCAATAAGAGAAAGCTTATGTTCTTTTGATCTTGTTTGATATTTTTTAATTTTCATTTTATAGCCTAAGTGTAACACATACCCAAAAAGTCTAATCCAACAATGTAAAGTAGATATTCCCATATTAAGTCATTTTTTATCAGGAATAAACATCCTGATTTTTACTAAATTGTTCATTTCACTTGGTTTTGCAAAACAACCTTTGCATGATTGCAATGAATTCAAAAGCATGATAGCATTTACAGACATCAAACATAGTTAAGTCAACAACAATTTTTATTTCTATCAAACAGTGCTTTTTATTACAGAGATCTAAATATAAAATATAGTCTTGTAGATTTTCAATTTGTTTTCTAAGCTTAACTTCTTTTTCTGCAATAAGTTCACTTGTTTCTTTTTGGTATTTTAATTGAAGAGGTCTACAAAAACAATGTATCTTTAAGTTCCACTACAGAAAACCAATCTATTTTGTGTTTAAGTACAGCTCTCATCCGTTTATAGAAAAAAATAAATTTCTTTAAAATAAAAAATTCGGAAAAAAAGCTTTGGCCACATTTTCGCGATTTGGATTTTACATAGTGCATCATACACAAAATAAACAAAAGTATAAAAACAAGATATATTTTTGTTAAAAATTCTCTCCATTATATAAATAAAAATAGTAAGCAATAATTAGAAAACAAAAAAGATATTAAAAAAAATGTTTATGTAAAGAAAAATAAAAAATAATGAAAAAAAGTAAAATTGTATGCTTCCAAAACTAAAGCAACTTTAAAAAATTAACTCAAAACCTAATAGTAAAAATGCTAATAGTACTTGTCTATAAGATTTATTTCTTCAAAATTAGATTAATATCAATAATCAATAGCATATCCTTTGTTTTTTATAACTTTTTTACAACGACATGGCATTGATTCAATCAATTTATGAATTTGTTATTTATTTACTTCCTGCCATGCTTGTTTAAGCTGGATATACAACTGATCAGCATTACTAAATGTTCCTTTCAGTTGGATGGCGTCGTCTAATTGCTTTCAAAGGTTTTCAATGGGGTTGAGGTCTGGTGAATTAGCTGTCCATTTCATTAAACTGATTTGGTTAGTATTAAACCAAGTTTAGAAGCATGTTTAGGGTCATTGTCATGCTGGAATTGCCATCATAAAGGCATATTATCATCAGCAAAAGGAACCATTTGTTTTTCCAAAATATCTTTATATACGAAACGGTCCATAATGCCGTTGATTTGAAATAATGGTCCCAAACCGGAAAAACCCGAAAAACATCCCCAAACCATCACTCCTTTACCACTACCATGTTTAAAAACAGCTCTTGTATACTTTGGGTTTATTCGCTTGCACTTTGGGCGTCTTGATGCAGATTAAATTTTGACTCATCACTCCATAAAACGTGACTCCATTGTTCTACTGTCAAATTTTTATGAGCATGGGCAAATTCTAATCTAGCTTTTCTATTTTTTTCTGAAATAAACGGTTTTTTTGCAGTTCTGTAACTAAATAGTCCTGCTATATCAAGATGTCTTTTTACAGTATTTTTTGAAACTTTTACTTCTAATTCATTAATTACATCTCGAGCAGTAGCAAAAGGATGCTTTTTCACAAATCTCACTAATCTACAATCAGTAACTTTTGATGTTTTGGGGGGACGACCCTTGTTGTGCTTTGTTTCAACAGTGCCTCTGACTTTGTTTCTGCTGATCCATCGGTTGATCACCAATTTTTCCACATTATACTTGACAAATAGTTCATGTTGTTGAACTCCATCACTAAAATCAGCAATTACTTTTTGTTTAAAAAAGGTACTATATTTATTTCTTGCCATAATTTAATCCTAAAATGTTAGAATTATATATCAAAGTTTATTGTTACAACAAAATGATATTTTAATAATAAAGTTGCACTTTCAAAACAAAATCACTAATAAATAAAAAAAAGAAGTTTATCTACTAAAAGTGATTTACTGAAATTAAATATATTTTTTTTTTTGGTAATTTATTGTTTACTTTGGTTTTATTATTAAAGTTGCTTTTGTTTTGAAGTCTATTTAAATTTTTTTATTACTAATAATAAATTACTAATACTGGTATTTTGCACGCAATGTACTATACTTTTTTTGTGTTAAATGTAAAATTATTTTAAGAAATAGTTTTAATTGTAAGAATAGGTATGATTTTGCTAAGTTAAATGAAAAAATAACATAACTTGTATCTATAAATAGAGATTTTTCAATTTAGTCATGTTGTTTCCAAAGAAGTTGCTTAAGTTTTGGAAGTCAATGTATATATATATATATATATATATATATATATATATATATATATATATATATATATATATATATATATATATATATATATATATATATATATATATATATATATATATATATATATATATATATACATATATATATATATATATATATATATATATATATATATATATATATATATATATATATATATATATATATATATATATATATATATATCTTAGTGATGTACCGATTAATCGGTATTGGCTTAATCGGCCACTTTATGCACAATACTGATT